CGTCCTCTGTATGGTGTCGTCGTCATCGTCGTCGTCGCTCGCGTCGGTCGTCGTCATCGTCAGTCGCGTCCGTCGCTCACATCGTCATCGGTCGTCGTCGTCGTCGCGTCCGTCCTCGCTTAATACTTCTTTAACCAATTTTTTTCTGATTGTTTCCTCTGATGTTGTTGATGTTGTTTTTGATTTTTCTTCTTCTTATTGTATTCTGGAATTTAGACTATACAGTACCTTCGCCGCATTTATATAACCTTGTGCACATACAGATCATTTTATTCTTTGAATGCGAGAAGAATATTAAGCCTTTAATCATGGTAGTTCGTAAAATATTATCGTGTTTTATCGCGAGACGAAATGCTTTCTGCTGACAAGAGTTCAAGTGATTATTGAAATTCGCAGTGTTTTCTTTTGGAAATGCGGGAAAACCCTCCAGGGCATTAACGCATGATGATATGTAAGCATTTTACCTGTATGTTAAATACGTTTCATTGCCACATCGATAACCTGCCTATACTTCCATCCTCGCGCTTGCAGACTGAGCAAAAACGCTTATTTCGCTTGCCCGAAGTCGACACAGAAAATAGTTACCACTTGGCGCACTTAATGCGTTTCAGTTTCTGCCACATCGGGCAAACAATATAATATGCTAACGCTAATGTCCATGCACGGAAGAAATTTCATGTATATATTTGACGTGTCCCTTTAAACGTGTTTGCCACGTAGAGGGGGCAACATGATTATGGTTTATGATTGCCACATCCTCGGGTTAATTGCGTTATTTCGTGCGCGCCGTGTGTGGCGTGCGTCTCGCTGGGTATGTGCGTGCTGGTGCGTAACGTTTGGCTGCGTACGTGTGTGCGTGCGTGCGTTCGCGGGTACGTGCGTGTGTGCGTGTGTTCGCGGGTACGTGCGTGTGTGCGTGTGTTCGCGGTACGTGCGTGTTATGCGGTTCGCCGCGTTCGTGGCGTGCGTTCGCGGTATCGCGTGCGTGCGTTCGCTGGTTTACGTGCGTGTGTGCGTGCCGCTCGCGGGTACGTGGCTGTGTGGCGTGTGCCTTCGTCGGTCCGTGCGTGTGTGCGTGTGGTTCGGGTACGTGCGTGTGTGCGTGTGTTCGCGGTACGTGCGTGTATGCGTGTGTTCGCGTATCACGTGCTGTGTGGCGTCTTGTAATCGTGATCCCCTGACCATACTGGAATATCGTGTTCCAAACAAGTATACCCGTGCATATACGCTTTCGCATTTGGGACAATGCAATGTAATACCGTACTTCCTACTCGCGGCCAAGGTATTATCTATCACGTTGTTGTTACGCCCTATCATAAGTCATCATCAAGCGCACTCGTACACTCTTGCAGACGCCCGACTACACCGCATGCAAACACTCGCCCGCCCTCCCGCCGGCGGCCAACGAGGTATTCAACGCCGCACCAGGCCGCGACGCCGTCGCCGCCCACCGCCGCAACGCAGCTCTCCGCTGGTCGGTCCGGCGTCCGGTCGCTAGGCGCGGAGTTACCTGTTCCGCGAGCCGTCGTCGCCGTGTCGCACGCGCTCTACCCTAGCGGCGACGCGGTGTTCACGATCGAGCAGGGCGCGTGGGACCGACGACGCGCCTCGGCCCGCCTTCGTCGCCGACGTCGCCGCGTCGCCGCGCGTCGTCGGCTCACCCGCGCCGCGTCGTCCTCCGACTCGAGCGACGACCAGCCGAGCGTGCACGCGCCGCCAGAGGGCGCTGCAGTCGTCGACGACCGTAGCGACGCCTTGGCGACCCGGATAAGCCGAGCAGTCGGTCGTCGTGCATAAGTCGGCGGACGACCCGGAGTTGCGCGCGCGCGAGTACATCGGCTGCCGAAGTGGCGCCAGGTGCGCCAGCGCCGCCGCAGAGAGAACCGCGGCGCGCCTCCTCGAATAGTCCGATAGAGGGCGGCGCAGCGAGCGAGCCGCAAAAGCGGCAAGACTGTCGATAAATTACTTGTTGGTAAATCCAGAGGGCGCCATTGATCAGCAAGGAATTCCTGGTTTGGACGCCACAAGCACAAAATCTCTTCTTGATTAAGAACAAAAGGATTTGTATGTTAGTTTACAGGGTACTATTCATATGTTGATTAAAATATATTAGTAACTGTATATAGTATTGTAACTACTAACTATAGTAAACTGTATTTCTGTCTAATTAAGTGGTGCTAGTTAATTGGCATCGAGGCAGCTACACTAGAAAAATTGTAACTCGTTTTAACTTTTGATAAAACCCTATATTTTATTACATATGGAACGTGACATCATTAGCACGCAAATTATGAGAAGTAGCTCTAAATCGTGTTCGCGGTGTGTTGTGTTGTCTATAAACCTCACTCACAAGTTTCAGATTCGGCGAGCCAGTCAGTCAAACAGACGGAAAGAACGAAGAGAGATATTGAAGATTCGAGCATCAATGCGATACACCACTAGATCCGTCCAATTCCGCTTCCGGTTGTTAATAAAGAACTGCTCGCGATGCTTTAGGTTTCGCCTCTGTCTGTCTTCTCTCTCTCTCTCTCTCTTTCTCTCTTTCTCTTCTCGCTCTCTTCCGCTCTCTTCGCTCACCCTCCTCTCTCTCTCTCTCGCTCTCACTCCCCGCTCTCGTCGCTCACCCACCTCTCTCTCTCGCTTCTCTCTCCGCTCTCTTCACTCACCCTCCCCTCTCTCTCTCTCTCCGCAATCTCTCGCTCTCTTCGCTCACCCTCCTCTCTCTCTCTCGCTCTCTTTCCGCTCTCTTCGCTCACCCTCCTCTCTCTCTCTCTCTCGCTCTCACTCCGCTCTCTTCGCTCACCCTCCTCTCTCTCTCGCTCTCTCTCCTCTCGCTTCACTCACCCTCCTTCTCTCTCTCTCGCAATCTCTCCGCTCTCTTCGCTCACCCTCCTCTCTCTCTCGCAATTCTTCTTTTCTTTCTCCCTCTATTGTTTCTCTTTCTTTTCTCCTCTATCTTCCCCTCTCTGTGTTTCTCTCTCTCCCTCTCCCCTCTCCCCTCTCTCATTCTCTCCGACCTCCTCTCTCTCTCTCTCTCTCTTCTCTTTTTTTCTATCTCATCTCACTCTCTCTCTCTCTCTCTCTCTCTCCTTTCTAGCATTACATCGCGTTATCGCATTGAGTAGTCAATGCGATCGGATTACTCGTGGTCACTTGTGTGATACCGCTACGCTATCGTCTATAAGAAGCGTGAATAATTTAAAGCAATAATTCATTATATCAAATACTCATTATAAACCATTAATATGTAATGATTTGTTCTAATTATATAGTAATAAATAATTGCGTGTGAATTGTGTATTGAGAGTTTGTTACATTCGGCGTGGTATGCGTGTTTATACGTTTGACATCGTGCCACTCGAATATTCTCATTCAGGGTGTAGCTAGCATTCTAACATGTCAAGAAATCAACGTCATTGAGACGTATAGTGACCACCATTATAGTGACGGTCCCCACAAGTTTGCAAGCAGAAATGCGAGAAGATTCTATTGACAAACGCGCATACGTAACTCGCTTTAGTAGAAAAAAAACAGAATTTCAGATAAGAAAGTTAAATCCTTGATAAATTAGTTGCGTTTCAAATACATCGCTGTTTATTATTCATCGTACATATATTTATTAATAAACAAACAACTCACCTGTGGTGAACATTGTATATATACAAAACATCAGACGACGAAATGTGTTTTTTATTACTTGTATATTGTTTTTCGTGCTAGTAAGAACCTGGCCGTAGAAAATCTCATTTCTCTCTCTACTTTGACAATACGTGTTTTTCGAGCTTTCGACATATATTCGCGCAGTTCTAAACATGAAGATATCTTTTGTTATGCTGTAGGCCAACGGGGTTGCTATATCTATGCAGCACCAAATTTGAACAGCTACTAAGTTTTGATTGCTTTCTTTTAATCCATTCACCGTACATCTTTACTGAAACGCACTCTCTCTCGAGTGAACACTACAAAGAACGGACAAAGAAGAAAATCTATAGAAACCAGTATAAATACCAGCAAATACCCGATCACGGAACACGCATTGGTGACTATTCGCACGAACGGCAATGTCGGTAATGTTTCATTTTATACCAGACTACCATATAACACGTCATCATGACAAATTTACAACACCGCAGTTAAGTACGAATACGTATATAATATAAGTTAGATATGAACAAACTGTATTATAATATGGGCTCACAACGTCGCTTGTAGGTTCACAGTTCTATTCGATACGTTCTTTAATTTTCCTAAATTGCTCACTTAAAGCGTAAACCAAATATACAAGCATAGAACGGACGATTCACAAGTTCAATAAATAAATATTTACCGCTATTTACAATTATGGCCTAATATGCGTCCCTCCGCACGCATCTCATATATTATTTCTGAGTGATTGTTTGATTTGCTTCAAATAAAAATTCATATCGCTTATATGTAGACGCGACAGCGGCGTGGTACGCGCGCGTATTACGCGTGGCAGAAAGCATGCGGGTATGCACGCGTGCGCGCATGCGTGCACATGCGCGCGTACGAGCGTGTGTGCGTGTACGAACGCATTCCGCGGTTACTATAGTAGCGTTTGAAGCAAAGTCATGACCAGATAGATATACACGCCTCACATACAGGCCCTCTTACTCAGTAAGCGTGTTGCAAATGCATACAACGGAAGCCAAAACGCAAGCACCGCGCATCATTCCCTCCCGCGCACCAACATTTCCTAGCCACCCGCTACCTCCTCAGCCGCCTCTCACGTTAATTTAAGCCACGATCAAAGCGGAATACGTAGATTTCCTATTCGAGGGAGATGGATATTCCTACGCGCATTTCCTCGACACTCCCCCGACACCCCCCCCCGTCACGGTTTTTGATTCATCGACGAACCCGTTAAATACATGTACCCATGTGCAAAACGAACACAGCTGTCCCACTCCCCTCCCCTCCCCTCCCATAGCCTCCCCTTCCCTCCTCTCCCCTTCCCTCACCTCCCCCCACCCGCCGAACGGAGAGACTTGAACCTACGAACTGGGCGCGCCTTCAACAAGACTTGAACATGTCGCAGAGGAGTCTCTCGATGGGCACGCTGCCGATGGTCCGTCGGAAGAACAGCTCCTCTATCGTTCGCGGACTGACGCTCTTCACGTGCGGCAGCAGCAGCAGCAGACGCCCGAAGCGCACCTTCGACGGCGGATGCTGCGTGTACGTGTACTCGCTGAGCATTAGTTGCGCCTGGTCCTGCAGCAGCTCCGCCTGCACCGAGTCGCGCAGGCCCCGGATCTCTGCGGAGCGGAAATGACGTCACGGGTGAGTGGCGAAGCAGTTTATGATTTTTTAAATTTAATGGTTTTTTTAATGTAATACATTTTTACTTTAATTTATTTTTACCTTGATATATTTTTCTTTGAAACATTAAATGTTCGGTTTTTTGTTTTAGGATTTTTCTAATAGGTAATGTTTTTTAAATATTAATTATGGATTATCGACTATCTTTAAGAGATCTACATAATTCTGCGCTTACCAGATTTGAATAGGACGATTGCCTTGAGACAGGCGTACTCTGTAGCGTCCACGCGCAGCGAGTGCAGTCGTGAAATGACGTCCTGCATTGCTCTCACTTCAACGGCCCAACATGATCCACGGCCGCCGTCAGATGGCGCTCGATCGAGATGAGAATTTCCGTGCGACGTCATCAGAGAACCTGGAAGCGTTTAGGCATTTAGAAGTGCATTTCGGTTCATTAATCTATCATTTTAATTACTTAATTCGTTTGTTTATAATGTGTCAAGAGCACACAAATTTTGCTTAGATATGAATATATATCTAAATTACATATAAAAAATTTATATTGTGTCACTCCTGATAGCATAGCATATGAAATCGCGTTATGCATATAGCAACGAAAGAGGCGAGGAGCGGCGACCGGATCGATGCGTGCCAGCAGCGGCCGCAAGCAGCCGCCACAGAAGGCGCGCGAGCGCACGATTAGCAATGGCCAGAGAACATCGTTCGAGACCGAGTCGTCAGGCGGCCTTACAGCAACGCATGACGGTCATAGAGCGCCCCTCAATGGCTGCTTTCGAAACATACGGTGGTAGTTTTTCGTGATCGAGGCCTTGGGTTTGTATTAATCGTGGCTTTCATGTGTGTTCTTTGTCATATCATGCGGCCTAGAAAACGGCGTATCCAGAGAAGGCTGAGACCAAACCCCCTCACGACCAGCCATAACACGCGGAGAACATGTGATATTCAACCTCGTGATCACGAAGTCTCATATATCCTCTAGTTAAATCTCGTAACTCATTTAGTATCGTATTTAAACCAAACCTTCACTACACCCGGTTATTACAGCAGATCACTTCTGGCTCAGATAGTGCTATCTTAATTTTTATTGTTGATTATTTTAACCGTTACACTTTGACGGGCATTATCCTTACTTATGCTTGGCTAATCACTCTTCCATACCCTTCTTCCTCGTCTTCACACTCTTCTTTGTTTTTCTCTCTTCTATATCTCCAATTTTTCTTGGCCATCTTCTCTCACTCTTTCTCTTCTTTCTCGTCCATCTTTTTTCCTTAGGTCGCCCGCTCCTATCCTCTATCTATGCCTCATTCTCCCCTCTAATCCTTACTTCATCCTCCCTAATCTATCTATCATATGCTACCTTTTCCCCCTCATCCCTATCTCTATTCTTAAATCTTATTGCCCTTATACCTATCTATCTAATCCTTCTCCATATTCTAATCCTAAATGATACCTTACTCAATCTCTACTTTCTATCTTAATTCTAATTTGCTTAAAAATTCTATCTAACTCACCTATCTGGATCACTATCCACTGGACTCGACTATTCTATGCTATCTAGCTATCTATCTATCTATACGTATCTATCTATCTAATGCTAATCTATCTATCTATCTATCTTAAATCTATTCTATGCTAGGCCTATCTACTATCTATCTATCTATCTAGTCTAATCTCTTATTCATCATACTGGCTCACTTACTAATTGTCCTAGACCTCTATCGACCTCCTTAACTATGTAGTCATATCCCTATGATTCTTCTATCACATATTAAACTATCTAATCTATCTAAATGACAAATTACTCTATCTACATATCTACGCTTCTATCTATTCTTATCCATAACCATTCCACCTATAATTTTATTAACCCTATCCCTCCTAGTATATACCGTATCCATATCGACTCAACCAGTACTCATTAATCTCTTAACACTTCTAAATTTCTCACATTCCCACTAATCCCCCTCACTCGCCTTATCTCCATGCTAACCATCACTATAATCTACTCCACCCTTACTATCTGAACTATATACCATACTTCTCTTTTATCCCATCCCCTCCTATCTATTTGCTATCTTAATGCTATCTATCTATCTATCTATCTCATCTATATATCTATTTCCTCTATCTATCTATCCTCTATCTATGCTATCTACTTCTAGTCTAATCTAATCATAACTCTATCTATCTATCTATCCTATCTATGCGATCTATCTATTCTATGCTATATCTCTAAATCTTATCTATCTATCTATCTTCCTAATCTATGTCTCTAATGCTATCTATCTTCCTATCTATCTACTATTCTAATCTATGCTATCTACTTGCTATTCTCATTCTATTCTCTATCTTATCTATTCCTATCTTATCTATTCCTCTCATCTTTCTCTATCTATTCATCCTTATACTCTCATTCTCATCTACTTCTATTTTCTTTATCCCCTATTTTATCTATGCTATTTTGTATCTATCTATGCTAACATCTATTCGCTCCATCCTACTCTAATCTATCATATGCTAATCTATCTACTCTAATCTAACTAACTAATCTATCTATCTATCTATCTATCTATCTATGCTAATACTATGCTTATCTATCTATCGGTAAAATCTAATCTATCTAATTTACTCCTACCTGCTAATCTATCTATCTATCCTATCTATCTACTGCTATCCGCTAATTCTATATCTATATCTCTTCCTACCTACTCTATATACTTTATCCTATATATTTCTATTTCAGTCATAATTATATCATTATATACCTCTCTCCTCTCTCCCTCCTCGCCCCTCCCTCTCTTACCCCGTATCAGGCAACATCCCCAATACCGCGCCCCCCTCTCTTCCTCTACCTTTCTCTCCCCCCTTCGCTCTTTTCTGTTTCTCTATCCCAGTTCTCCTCCTCCATTTTTCTTCCCTCTATCTTTTTCTCTTTTATCCTGTTTCTCACGTGTAGCTCCTTCTCTCTCTCTCTGTCTCTCTCTCTCTCTCATCACAGCCGGACAATCACCCCCGGACAATTACGCACTCTCTCTCTCCTCTTCTTTCCAGTGTCCTCTCGACGATACTTCACACCCTCACCCCGGGACATTACGCGTCTTGCCCTCTCCCGTCCCTCTCTTCTCTATCTCTCATCTCCCCTATTCATTTGTCTGCCTCAATTTCCCGTCCACCCCCCTATCTCCAGTAATTGCGTTGTACAATAAAAGACAAGTCATAATCCACCGTTGTCAAAATATCGAAAATACACAGGGCAACACACTATTTATTAGCACCACTTTACAGGCCGCATTTTTTTCCCACGCTCCGGACCAATGTCATCTTCTCATTTTTTTTGTCCCGAAACCGAGCCCGGATGACATGTTATATCTATGAAATGGAGACAATTTTTTCCCTGAATTTATATCTAATCTTCACCCCTCCCCAGCCGGAGCAAGTTAGCCCCTGAATGATCAAACTTCCAACCCCAGCTGGTCCCTACTTATCACCCTCTAATCATCTTCCCCCTCCCTTACCTGATCCCTTATATCACGAACATTCCATATACCCCCCCCGCGGCCAGCACAACTTAAGCTAACCCCCTAAAATGATGATCATCAACATCAAAAATATGACATCCCCACGCCATCTAAACCCTACATATCTGGATCTCCCGACAAATATATACGGCCACAATATACACAATGATTCCGTTGATACACACGCACACACGTCCCCCCCCGCCAGCACCACACCACCACTGCACCACCGTCTCTTCACCGAAAGCCGGAGCATTTACCCGGCCGCCGTCACACAACATCATACCCCCCTCCAAACACACACACCCTCCACACGGCCACACCACAACCACACGGCACAACAGCAGAAGCACATAATCTAACAGACCCGCCGGCACACCCCACAATTACCCACACCACACAACACAACACACACACACCACACGACACCACGCGCACACAAATCATACCCCCCGGCACACCAACAATCATCAACCACACACAAACACAAACCACTTCCCCATATGCCATTTACCGGCGCACCACACCCCACCAAACGCACAACCCCATGCACACACAGCCACTATTATATATTAACATACATCATTATAATAAAAATAATAAACTATCAATATCATTGTTTTTACATACTTTACATATATAATATAATATATATATATATATCCGCCATTCCATACTACTAACATGTCTGTTCATCTTGACCTATTTTTGCTGATTCGAATAATGTTTGATTCACCTTACTAACACCCATATCATTTGAAATATCTAAACCAATATATATTTAACACGTTTCAACCTATGTTTGCAGAATAATTCAGTCTATAAACACGCTTCTTCTAAAACTTAAATCATCTCCTGCCCGTACTATTACCAAACAAGTCCGACAATCACCCTCCGGACAATTACCGCCCCCGGACATGTTACGCCCGCCAGACGGCACCACGATTAGGAACCGTTGACCATCTATTTCCCCGGCACACCAATTTTACCTTCCCTCCCTATCGTTCAATCCATTATCATCCCAGACCGAAAAGTGACGGAAAACAAAACTCCACGGGACGCCGCGGACAATTACCCCCTCGCGGTCGGAGACAATTAGCCCATTCTGGCCCATCTGCGTTGCGGGGACTCCCGGGTTGTTACATCTTTCCCGCGGCATGCCCATTTATCGCCTGGGCTCCCATCAGCCGGGCCACTTCACCCCCTTAACGCCGGAGAACAATTTCTTTACAAACTTGCTAAATAACATGGTCCTACTCCGGAGCTAGACTTAGGTCCGCACCGCCGCGACATTTACGGACAAAATCAAACGTAAAATACAATGGGAAGCCCGAATATGAAACAGAGCGAGAAACAATATAACAATTCCCGATCGGGCAGCGCCCGTGGCCATGACCAATCCTCATAGCGCGCCAAAAGATGGAAAAATTACTCCGTTAGATGTGCATAAGTAGACACGCTTCCTAGCCGCTTGCTAAATAGCAATGAATAGCAACACCACTACATTCGCCCAGATCGCGAATACCGCCTTCCTCTTCTCTCTCTCTCTCCCGAGTCCCCTCCTCGGACATTTATCCCTCGCGGACATTACCCCCCCTAGACCAATCACTGCCTGCCCGGAGCAATTACCGCCATCTCCCCTGCTTCATTCAGAATTAAGCCGCCTCTTCTCCCTCGCTTCCGCCCGGACAATTACGCCCCGCCGGACAATGGCGTGCGTGGAAGTGCGTGTGTGGCGTGTGCAGCGTAGCACCGTGTGTGGGGCAGTAGGGTCACGTGTGTGCATGTGTGCGTGCGTGCGTGGGCGTGTGTAGCGTACACGTGCGTGCCGTGGGCGTGCGTGTGCTTGTATCGCACAAATACAGGCATGCTGGCTTGCTGCCAACCGTTAAACTGCGGGCATGTGGCGGCATATGACGTCAATGTTGAATAAACATGAACAGTGCTATTGTCCGGGGGGTAATTGTCCGCGGGGGTAATGTCCGGGGGGTAAATTGTCCGGGGGGTAATTGTCTGGGGGGTAAATTGTCGGGCGGGGGGTAACGTCGGGGGGTGATCTGCTCGGCGGGGAGGGGTCGTGAATGGGGGCATGGGGCGAAGTAAATGGCCTGGCGCTTGTCGTATTCACTTGTCTCGGGGGTAAATGCTCCGGGGGGTAATTGTCGCGGGGGTAACACGTCGCGGGGGTGATTGTCCCGGTCGAGTAGAATGGCATGGGGGGTAAATGGCATGCGGGGGTAATTGTCGGCTGGGGGTAAATGTCGCGGGGGTAAATTGTCCGGGGGGTAAATTCCGGGGGTAATTGATCGCGGGGTAAATGTCGGGCGGGGGGGTAATTGTCTGGGGGGGGGGGTAAATAGTCCGGTGGGTAAATGTGCCGGCGGGGGTAAATGTCCCGGGCCGGTAATTGTCTGGGGGGTAATTGTCTGGCGGGGGTAAACGAGGGCGGGGGGTGATTGTCCGCGGGGGGTGAAATGGCATGGGGGGTAAATGGCATGGGGGTAATTGGTCCGGGGGGTTAATGTCCGGGGGGTATTGTCGCGGGGGGTAAATGCATGAGGGGTAATTGTTCGCGGCGGGGTTAAATGTCCGGGGGTATTGTCGCGCGGGGTAAATGTCCGGGGGGTAAATGTCCGGGGGGTAAAACTGTCCGGCGGGGGGTAAATGTCGCGGGGGTAAATGTCGGCGGGGGTAAATGTCCGGGGGGTAATTGTCCGGGGGGTAATGTGCGCGGGGGGTAAAATGTCGGGCGGGGGGGTAAATGTCCGGGGGTAAATGGGCATGGGGGTAAATGGCATGGGGGGTAATTGTCCGGGGGGGTAATTGTCGGGCGGCGGTAATTGTCCGGCGGGGGGTGATTGTTTCGCGGAGGGGCTATTTGTCCTAGAAACCATATATACATATATATATCCTCGCTCTATCTAATCTAAATCTCTGTCTCGCCACACATCTTACTCAAACGAACAACCATTTTTGGCTGTAAAACCAGCACACCAGAAAACAGCAGCGAACGGCGGCCTCGTCTCGATGGCGGGCAGATCCCATCCCGCAACATGACGGCCCAGCGTTTTCAAACACTAATGGGCGGCGTTAGCGTCGATGCTGGCCCGAGGACAGCACCTCGGCAGCGCCGCGCGGCCGCCGGCCCCGCCGCCGTGCCGCGCTTCTCTCCGTCGGAGAACATCTAGCGAGACCGCGGCGGCGGCGCGTTGCTGTTCATCGTCGGTGAAGTTGGGCGGCGGCAGTATTCACGTCGTTTCCCTGGCGATGCCCTTCGGCGATCAGGCGATTCTGCTCGAGGAGATCGTGGAGGGCGAGTGTCTCATACTCATGCGCAGCGCAGCTCGGCCTGCGCTAGCCTAGGTATGTTAAATCAATCAATTAAATTTATTAATTATTAATATATATATATAATACTATATCGGAGCGTATAATGACAAATTTGTTCAAATTATACGGGCTCCTGATTTATATATTATGTATGGGCATATGTTTATATATATATATATATATATATATATATACTATATATATAATATTTATGTATCATAGCTTATATATATATATATATATATATATATATATATATATAATAAAGCTGAGAGAGAAGGGAGAGAGAGAGAGAGAGAAGAGAAAGAGAGAGAGAGCGAGAGAGATAGAGACAGACAAAGTTTTCTACCATCTTAAATAAGGTAACTCTTCATATGGCTCATGCCTATG